TGGTGGTGTAATGAGTGTAGCGTAATGTAATGTAATGTAATATAATGTAATGTAATGTAATGTAGTCTAATGCAATGTGGGGTAGGGCAGTGTAGTGTAGTGTAATTGAGTGTAGTGTGGTGTGGTGTGGTGTAGTGTAACGTCGTGTAGTACAATTAGTGTAGTGAAGTGTAGTGTAGTGTAGTGTGGTGTAGTGTAGTGTGGTGTGGTGTGGTGTGTGGTGTGTGGTGTGTGGTGTGTGGTGTGTGGTGTGTGGTGTGTGGTGTGTGGTGTGTGGTGTGTGGTGTGTGGTGTGTGGTGTGTGGTGTGTGTGTGTGTGTGTGTGTGGTGTGTGGTGTGTGGTGTGTGTGCAGTGTGCAGTGTGTAGTGTAGTGTAGTGTAGTGTAGTGTGCAGTGTGCAGTGTGCAGTGTCCAGTGTCCAGTGTGCAGTGTGCAGTGTGCAGTGTGCAGTGTGCAGTGTGCAGTGTGCAGTGTGCAGTGTGCAGTGTGCAGTGTGCAGTGTGCAGTGTGTGGTGTGTGGTGTGTGGTGTGTGGTGTGTGGTGTGTGGTGTGTGGTGTGTGGTGTGTGGTGTGTGGTGTGTGGTGTGTGGTGTGTGGTGTGTGGTGTGTGGTGTGTGGTGTGTGGTGTGTGGTGTGTGGTGTGTGGTGTGTGGTGTGCAGTGTGCAGTGTGCAGTGTGCAGTGTGCAGTGTGCAGTGTGCAGTGTGCAGTGTGCAGTGTGCAGTGTGCAGTGTGCAGTGTGCAGTGTGTAGTGTGTAGTGTGTAGTGTGTAGTGTGTAGTGTAGTGTAGTGTAGCGTAGTGTAGTGTAGTGTAGTGTAGTGTGGTGTAACGCAATTAGTGTAGTTGTATTTGTAGTTGTAGTTGTAGTAGTTGTAGTTGTAGTTGTAATGTAGCGTTATGTAATGTATTGTAGTTGTAGTTGTAGTTGCAGTTATAGTTATAGTTATAGTTGTAGTTGTAGTTGTAGCTGTAGTTGTAGCTGTAGTTGTAGTTGTAGGTGTAGGTGTAGGTGTAGTGTAGGTGTAGTGTAGGTGTAGTGTAGGTGTAGTGTAGGTGTGGTGTAGCTGTAGTGTAGGTGTAGTGTAGGTGTAGTGTAGGTGTAGTGTAGGTGTAGTGTAGTTGTAGTGTAGTTGTAGTGTAGTTGTATTGTAGTTGTATTGTAGTGTAGTTGTAGTGTAGTTGTAGTGTGGTTGTAGTGTAGTTGTAGTGTAGTTGTAGTGTAGTGTAGTGTAGTGCAGTGCAGTGCAGTGCAGTGTGGTGTGGTGTGGTGTGGTGTAGTGTAGTGTAGTGTCGCGTGGTGTGGTGTAGTGTAGTGTAGTGTAATGTAATTGAGTGTAGTGTACTGTAGTGTAGTGGAGTGTAGTGTAGTGGAGTGGAGTGGGGTGTAGTGTAGTGTATGTCATTAGTGTAGTGTACTGTAATGTAGTGCAGTTGCAGTTGCAGTTGTAGTTATAGTTGTAGGTGTAGTGCAGTGTCATTCAGTGTAGTGTAGTGTAGCGGAGTGGAGCGTAGTGTAGTGTAATTAGTGTAGTGTATTGTAGCGTAGTGTAAATGTAGTATTGTTGAGTTGTAGTTGTAGTTGTAGTTGTAGTTGTAGTTGTAGTTGTAGTTAGTGTAGTGTAGTGTAGTATAGTGTAGTGTAGTGTAATGTAGTGTACTTTATTTAATTTCAAAAGCAATGAAACCATGCCCCTCTATTGGGCTGCTACGTAGGGGTACGGGGATGCCTCACGTATATATGTCGGTACGGGTACGGTGGTTGGGTGCGGAAGAAGGTGCGGGTGCGGGTACGGGTGCGATGGTGGGTACGGAAGAAGGTACAGGTATGGGAAAAAGGTACGGCTGGTGGGTACGGTGTCGAGTACGTTGCTGTTGATACCGTATGGAGTGAACAGGATCATGTGCAGATGCACTCACATACCAATCTGTTGTCGCTGTGCAGTTGTACCGTAGTACCTTAAGTTGTACTGATGTACGTTTTTCGTACTTGTTCGAATATGTTTTGATGGGATCTTACTTATTATGTATTCCACCAAAACATTTTGGCTCAAGTGGGCTTCTTATTTTATTGGCTTTGTTTTCTTTTGGGCATGCTCAGCGTTGACAACAGTGTGCGTTTCAACAACTTCAGTCATGACAGGAATTTTCTTCCATTCTGGCTGAATGCTTTCGGGTTACCAAGTCCCTTTAGCTTTTTCTATCCACAACCCTAGCACCATCACCGGCCCCGGGGGCACTTGAGAGCCATTGCACCTGGCATCGCCACCGTGTGATCGACCGCGGCCTGGTTGGAACCTTTGCTCTGCTTTTCACTACATATTTGCATATTCAGTTTGCAATATTGGCAATTCTCTTATATATTAGAGCCGTCAATCACCCACAGCTTTCAAACATTCGCTAGAATCTCTGTGGATTCCCAAGTATAAGGCGGTCAACATTGTGAGTTGTGCATACTCCTAGTTCGACATTGAATCAGTCTTTGATTTTATTGACGATTCATTTGACTTTTCAATGGGCAATTCGAATCAGCAGATGGCGTTTTTAGATGAACAGACACTGCCACGTCCTACAGTGCCCTCGGGACCTCGACAAGGAGTTTCAGTTGCGGCGCCAACAGAGGGGCTGCCTCGACCCCAGTTGCATCAACAAACACCGGCTAGTCTTCATCGTGAAGTTCAAACAGAATTAGCTTTACCCAGACCAATGATTCCTCGACCAAGACCATTTGGTCAGGCTCGTTCTCGATCACCAGTTCCATTTGTACCTGACAGCAGGCTGTCTCAGCCCTCTAGTCTGGTTACAAGCATTGGCAGACCCAAGGGACTTGGATCAGAACAGCAGCGAACTCAGTCCAACTTGATGCGCACCAAGAAACCCAGTACTAATCATCAGTTGTTGCAGATGTGGTTACAGCTACTTTCACAGCTGGGTTCTCTGTCATCCATTTTTATGGAGATCCAGGACAGTCCAAACAAGGTACAACTGGCAAGTCTGGTGATCGACGCATTTGCGGCTTCTACCTTATCTCGGTATTTTTCTTGCATGTCCAAATTTTTGCAAACATGTACTCAATTGCAATTGGACATTGCAAAGGTCACTGCAGTGCAACTGTTGGACGTGTTTCTCCTTGGAAGTAAACGATCTGGCCTGGATCCCAGCATGACCATCAAGGCGCTGACTTGGTTTTGTACACATGCAGGAGTCGCAGTTTTTGCGATCTCCTCTCACTCATTAATACAATCCTGGAGGAATTCCAAGGTTCCCAGGGACAGGAGGGAATCCCTCCCATTACCACTGTATGTGGTTATCCAATGGGAAAGACGACTGCTGCAGGCAGGGTGTAACATTACGGAACGATTGGTTCTTGGTGGCTTTTTACTGATGATTTGGAGTGGCCTCCGATTCTCTGATTTGCAGCGCGTCACACACAGCTCCCTTATGGCTTCCTACTCCGAGATAAGGGGACTATGCTGGAGAACCAAAACATGCTCCAGAGGACAACCGTGGGGCACTACTTCATCTGGCTTTCTTTCCTATGGCGATTTTTCATGGGCAATGCAATTTTTGCAGCATTGGGATCATACGTTTGGCACTCAACCTTGTGCTGATTCAGATTTCCTGATTCCGAGCTGTGATGCAAATGGCCCTGTCATACCATTACAGGCTATGTCATATGTAGAGGCCTTGGGATGGTTTCGCAAATGGCTTTGTATACCGTGGAGGAAGTCTTCATTGTGCGCTGACATTGACCCCCTGTCGTACACAATTCATGGCATGAAAGCTACACTTTTGTCATGGGGTTCTCAACTTTGTCACAAAGGGCTAGTGACAGATGAAATGCGGCGATTGCAAGGCCACCACAAACCTGCTCAATCCAGTGTCAGCTTGTATTCCAGGGACGATGTTGGCGGACAACTCGAATTCCACAAGCGTTTGGTGGATCAAGTTAAGCAGGGCTGGCGTCCAATTACGCCTCAGCATCGTGGGGGTCAAGCACCATGCAAGGAGCCCAGTGTGGAAGTGGAACTTTTCAAGAAGGAATCCCCGGCTTATGCTTGGAAGATTGTGCATTTTTATGAATCCCAATCTCAATCTTCGGGATTGCCAGTTACCACTGGTACTTGTTTGGACGGCAGTTCAAGCTAGGCTTCAGATGAGTCTTCAGATTCATCCAGCAGTGGCAGTTGGTCTGACGTGGAAGACCAAACGGCAGTCAAAGCGGGAGTCTTGGCATTGGGACATCACCGCAGCACAATTCATGCGATGGTCCAGACGGACAAACCTATCAAAAACAGCGCGAAGCTGTTGGATATCCCACTGAAAACGGGATGTGGCTTGAACTTCACCGGCGACAGAATCTCCATATTGGAGCTATCGGCAGCCACAGATGGCATGGTAGCATGCAATCATAGGGGATGCAATAAACTCATGGCAGCATTGTTTGAATAGAAGAAGGACCCCTTCAATTGGCAGCTTTCCTCTTCCCTCAGAAATTTTAATGGTTATAGTTATATGAAGTATATAGTTGAGCAACCATTGCTATAAATCCCTCCCCATGCATGAGACATGGGACATGGACGGACTGACCAATTGCAAAATAGCGAATGTTTTTTTTTTTGTTTGTTTTCTCTCTGGGCTTTGCGATGCTTCTCCACCCCAATATGTTAATGGCCATCTGCCTTACTGGCTATGCAACCATCGGTATATTGAATGACCTCCCCCAGAAAGGCAGGCTCACATCATGGCATGTGACGAAACACATGGCGTTAGAGGGGATGGACTCCCCCTTGGCGTTCAAAATGATGGTGACTATCTGTGGCAGCAGAACCCGTGCGGTTCCAAAAAAAACCCGGAGCTTCCTGGCAAGTTTCCTCTTGGAACAGATGCGTGGCTGACTTAGAACAATACACACATATGTGCAGTTGGCTATAGGCGTAATATACACAGGCTTTTGACATCTATGGATTTTTCTCTATCAATCGCCCGCCTTAGGGACAGCCATGGGTGATCAGCTGGAATCAGTTTTGCTGGAAAGCAATGTGGACCCGGCCACGGTTTCAGTCATCGTTGCCAGAGGGTGGACACAAGAATCATTTGCGATTTGCGCTTCATCCCCGGAAGACTTAGAAACCCACTTTGACGACATTGCGGTGGGCATGGACCTTAGCTTCCAACAGAAAGCATGTCTCAAGGTGGCTTGGCATAAATGCCAACTTCCACTTCAGACCAAAGCGACACCCCAGACTAATGATCCTATTTCGGATCAACTGTCTCAGTTTGTAGATGGAAGTTGGTCGGAATCCTTCCCGGCCAAAATTTCACACACGGTGATGTTGGAATTGAAGAGCAAATTCAACAAGCACTATCCCAGCGAGATCCTCAGTTACGAGACTATGCCAAGTACCAGATTGATTAGCCAGGCCTCCCGCAATTTTCAAAAAGGAGATCATCGTTGGATTCCATGGAAGTTCAGGCTATCCCAATCAAAAGTTGAAGACTTGCAGACCAGTCGCTCGAGCAAGGTGCCGAGATTGGAAGGACTTCAGCTACACAATTTGCTCCTAGACGAGCCCCCATCCATTGAAGTGAGCAATACAAGCATGGGCATCAATGCGGTGAGAACCATGTTTGATAGGTTGAATACAGCTCTTGCAATGGTGGAATCCGCCCATTTAGCAAGCCTGAAAGCTTATAGCATCAAGTTCATGGCCCTCCTCACTCACCGTCTTGACGCAGAAACAGGCTTGAGGTCACCTACTATATTAGAAGCTCAAAGTGCAGACAAACAGATCTGGCACACCATCAGCGAGCTCATCATCGAGAAATCCTGGACCCTCGACCAGGCATTGCATGAGATGACTCATGTGCGAGGTGACTTGACGATTCTACTTCAAGCACGTCCTCGGCTATCACGCCCAGTTCTTCCAAGCACTAAAGGAGGCAAAGGGAACTCAACAGGCTCCACACCGCCAGTTAGCAAAGGCTCAGGCAAGAAAGGAAAAAAGGGAAACACCAAATCAGGTAAATCTGGTGTCAAATGGGTCACGGATGCCTACATCGATGGAGTCAAGAAGCAATTGTGCATGCGTTTTCAGACCAACTCATGTACATTCAGTGACTGCAAATTTCATCATGGATGTGCGGTGCCCAAAGCAGACGGTACAGCCTGTGGACTTCCCCATGCAGCTGCCCAGCATGATTCTACTCCGCACTGACTACCATCGGAGACGATCTTTTCACCACCATACCAGGCAGTCAAAGAAGTGCCTACAAAGCAAGATAATTCGTCTTCTACTACAACAGGTGGTACGGGCATTTTGCCCACATCACCGGTGACAGAGGACACTGTGAAGAAGCAGTCCGCCGCCACTATGGCTACAGATGAGATTTCAGGCATTTTGCCTCCTATTCAGCCATCATCGGAGCAGCCAACCGGTTTCACTTCAGAACATCCCCAAGGGACACTCGCTGAACCGGCCTTTTCACCAGCATCTCATTCACCAGCAGTTTCACAACATCCTCGAATTTTTCTGGATGTCTGCGCAGGCAGCACCCGACCCCTGTCCCAAGCGCTGCTTAAATTGGACAAGGTGATTCTGTCAATCGACATTTTACTATGTTCAGCCATGGGCTTGCTTGATGATCAATTTTATTTGCAGCTCATGCGAGTGTGTGCAAGTGGAATTGTAGCTTACACGGGATGTTCACCTAGCTGTGCAGAGTACAGCCGGTTGAAGTTGGAAACCGGGGGGACCACAAGCATTGCGTTCGCCAGACCATTTATGTTGTTGCACAATCTACATGTACATACTGTAGTTTTCACCTCCATATACCTGCGTGCTCATGGCTCAAGAAACATTGCTGCGGCAGGGTAGTATCTGTTCTTACTTTGTGGTCTTTACCGGTTGTTTAACCGTTTCTACAGGTTATCAGCCGTATCGCCAAGCGATCGCTGGTTTCCTTTTGTCTCACCTTTTCGTTCTCCTCTGTTTTCGCTATGGCTATTCCCCCAGCGCTCCCTGCCCCGGGCGGGAACGCCTCGGCTGCATTGGCTTTAGCGAATGCAACACTTCCCGAGGAGATGGTGATCCACTCAGGTGCAGCGACAACTGAAGGTGACATGAGTTACTTGGAAGAAGAATTTGACCCATGCCGACAGGATCCACGCAGAAACATGCCAGGTGTTTTGGATTCAAACATTGACATTAGTCAACTCAACACCATCAACTTCAACAACATCGATCAGCGTACCGCACAAGTTGCAGTGGTACAACAAGGTGTTGATCCTGCACTGGCAAGTCAACTGATGGCTGCTCAACAGCAGGCATTGCAGAGTGAGGCGAATGCTCGTCACACTGAGGTCATGGAACGTCAAAGAGATGCGCTTGTGAGTGAAGCTCGAGATCAACTTGCAAGCATTGAACAGCAAGCAGCCGACGAAATTTCCAAGAAGAACCTTTTGTTGAATGAACAAGCTGCACAGGCGATGAGTGAGCAGAAGTCCAATCAGCTTCATGTTCAAGCACAAGAGCATCGCATCAAGGAATTGACTGCCGAACTGAACTACGTGGTCAACAGTGCAGGTGCTATCACTTCGTCTGCAGAGAAGTCCAACGCTGATTTGCAGGCGGCCCGTTCGGAACTTGCAGAGTACCGCACTCAGATTGATGCAATGAATCAATATACATTGGACATGAAAAGAATGGCGGAATCTCAAAAGAAAGACTTTGAGGCAGAGATTGAAAAGCTTCGGAAGGAGCAGAAGGAGCTCATCCGGAACTTGAAGTCTCAACCTCTGGAGGGAACTCCTGGACTGATGATCCATTATGGACCGGGAAAGCCCAATCCAGGGGCATCGCAACCTTCAAGACCCATCATTGAGGAGTTGGCACCAGGTAGCAAAAATCCAAAGCACTCATCTGATGCAGATGATGAGCACTTTATGGCAGATCCCATGAAGCCTCCAGGACTTCCGGGAAGACATTAATATATGTTTTTCAGGAATACGCACTGGGGTTCGGACTCCATAGTTATGTTATAGTTAGTTTATGTTTTGACATGTGTTTGCATTTGCGCTTTCAATTTTCCACAGGAAAACACGAACTTATGTCAAAAAACGAAGTAGCTTTGGAGATTTTCAAAACCCTATTTTTCACGTCAACATGATAAAAATTTACGTTTCGCTGTAGCGAACACGCAATTTTTGTTGCTGAAACACTCCTAAAACCATACGGCCCTCTGTGGGTCGGGAACCCTGTAGTTGGGAGGACCCACTGCAGTCCTGGCAGGTCGGTGGGGCTATAGGTGGCCCCGCCGGCCGTGGCTAGGGGTATCCAACACTTTCTCGAATCTGTTTTTACTACATGCTCTTCATTCCGTCCTTTTTCTCTGCAGCCCATTCGAATCACATTAAACCGCTGCTGCAGGAAAGCTTCCTCGGGATTCTTGGCTGCATACAGGCCAGATGTTTTCCGGAATGTATCCGTCCAACAAACAAGTCTTAACTTGCGAAACCAATGCACTTCTTCATTCCAATTCGGCGCGGGTGAACTTTCCTCGGTTAACTTGCTTCTGTCGCATCATTCCCCACCTGCCAGGTAAGTGTCTCTAGCTTTTTAAGCCTCGAAGCCTGTACAGAGGCACGCGCTGAATTTCAAATTGATAATATTGATAGCGAGCTCCAAATCACTATATGGGCATACACGGACCCCGACATGTGCCAGAAGGAATGTGAGAAAGAATGCCAGATGGAATGTTTATATATATATATAGCAGATAAAATGTCAGAGAAAATGTCCGAAGACATGTGAGATGAAATGCCAGATGATGCCACATGCAGATGTGTAAAAAAATAAATTGTCACATGGAAGTCCCAGAAAGAATGCCAGATAAAACTTCTGCAGATAAAATGTCAGATAGATTGCAAAAATGCAGGCCAGATGGGATGCCAGAATATATGCCAGAGAGAATGCCAGACAGATAGAATATCAACATATATGGCAGAGTCCAGATAAAATGCAAGAGTATATGTCAGATAGCAATAATGCCAGAGAGGATGTGAGATAAAATGGCAAAACCTTTTCCAGATAGAATGCCAGGCTCACTATCAGACATAATGTCCGAATATTAGGTTGAATGCTGGATGAAACTTCAGGTAGAATGCCAAAGAGAATGTCAAAATTTATGTCAGATAGAATGCCACTTGGTTGGGGTCACTCGAAGAACGCATTTTTTTGGGACATTGGCCTTGTTGAACAAAACCTCTAGTCCGTGATTCTCTTTTGCGAGTTCAATTTCAGGTTTGGGAAGATGTCGAACAAGCTTGCAGATGAGATTTCTTCTGCAGAGCTGGACGCGCTCATGAAGAAGGCCATTTCAGTAGTGGAATCCAATTTTGATGAGAGCCACCTACCCGCAGCCATACGCGACTTCGTTCAACCGATTTCCACTGCAACATGTCAGGGAACATACGTCACGACTATGATGCTCTGTGGGGCAATGCCGTGCTTAACAAACGGAGCTGCAATTCGTCTGTGGACGCAGAAAGCCTCACCGTTGGCCCTTTTGGTGTTTCACATAGCACCACCCCAACGGGGCAAATCTAGATTGTTCCAAACATGTGAGGTGTTGATGGAAGTCTGCGACGACATTGTTGAGCAGATGGCACATGAGCATGCGCGTGCGCTTCAGCCAGAGGGTGCAGATGAATTGCCGGTGCAAGTCAAATCGATGGCTATTCAGTCATGCACAGCCACCGAAATGTTCTTTCGGTGCAGCTGTGACTATCCGCAGGTGCAGGCCGGGCATGGCCTCAATCAGAAGGGCGTTGCGATTTCATGTTCATGCTGCATGTCGCGCTACCATTTGTAATTTCATTTCTTCCAGCATGTCGGCGTCACCGTTGTGTGGCACCAGAGCATCAGTGATGAACCCAAACAGAACGGAGACTTTCTAGACATTGATTCGATTCGCACGAATGATTTTTTTCGCCACTTTGAGTATGGAAGGTCTGCTTATCGCTTCTACACTTACATCCAGAGTGCTTGCAGTACGTGTTCTTTTTGCTTCGGTTTGCCACAAGCCTTGCCGAGGTAGGCGCTTCAAAGCGCGACGTACAGACCACTAGATTGTGGTGGGGCCAATGCATAAATTGCGACGAAGCGTACGAATTTTGGGATCTTTTTGGATTAACCGGCGACAAGACTTCTGGTGTGAATCCCCACGCCTCCATGCTGAACACATTGATCAACCAGGGTCGGACTAAGCGCGCCACACGCACATCCACCAACTACGGCGAAGGTGTTCGAGCAAAGCCAATTTCTCTAAGTGTCTTGGGAAATGGGCATCCCAAGAGGGTGGTGGCTATGGAACGTGGGCTCATCGGAAATCACACAGTGGCGTGCAAAGAGAGGTTCTTGCTGGTCACAGACCACTCTGTTGCACGCCATGACAAATTGCCTCCTCACATTACGTCCAGCAGCGGAAGTCGGTACACTTGGCTTCCGCTCACTCCCTTGCAGGCCAAGGTGTTTCAGTGGCAAGACTTGCTGAACAACCCGGCATACTTCAAGCAAGCCGGTAGCCTCCAGGTGACCGAGGATGATGATGTGGAAGACATTGACCAGCCGGGTCTTGAAACAGAGGGCCCGCCACATGGTTTTCCGGTGGTTTTGCCAGATGGGGTGCCATCCCGTGTGCGCTATGTGCGTCAACCAGGCCCCAATAACTTTGGATGGACCAATCTTTTTATTTCCTTCAAGTCAAACCTTTCACAGAAGATTCTTTTATCAATTACACCAGATACCTGCAACCATGCCCTCCCTTAGAAACTTTGCTTTCAGTTTCGAGTGGAGCGATCTTGCAGGACAGGCTCTGGTCACAGAATTTCGTATCTCCAGCAGATGGACTCTGGCAGATCCTACTGATCACATCAAGGAAGGCGCGAAGCGTGTTTGTCAGCATTTTCGCAGCCGTCCACATTCCGTCTTGGAAATGGAATCTGAGGGGCGCAGGCTGCTCTTGGGCACCTGGTCACTAGAAGTTTTTACTTTTGCATCGCCAATTTTTTTTGGCGCCTGCCACGGCGAAATTTCATTGTGTCTTGTCGGCTACATGCTTGTGCCGCGCCGCCTCCAGGCAATCAAGTGGCGCAATCTGTGAGGGCCCAGCAAGCTGCGACAGGTGAAGATGAAGCGATGCACGCAAATGCCGCCGGACTCCAGGGGCAACTTGCTGCAGCCATTTCCGTCCTCGACCTGGCTGGGGGCGGTGGACACTTCGATGCCAACGGAGCCTTGATTATCAAAGCCGAGCATGTGCAGGTGAGATGCTCTTATGTGCTTCTGCTGTCTGCTGCTCTCAATACTTTGAAGAAAAACTGACGTGTGTAACCGTGTCACCTATTTGGTTCATAACGAGGTCCATGGTGGAAGCCTTCTGCACCCAAACCTTTCGGATCCACCCTGATTCGATCGCAGCCCTCTGCAGGTTGCCTGCCGGCTGGTTGAGATTGCCTTGCAGATTCGACATATTTTTCGCCTCCCCCTCGATGATGACCTCTCCGATCAAGAGAATGTGGAGCGCCCTGAGATACCTGTGCACGGAAACTATGAGCGCAAGTTTGGTGAGGTGCTGGCAACCCAAGGATTGCCTGCGCTGCCACCCGAGGAAGAAGAGGCAGTTGCCGAGGCAGAGGCAGAGGAAGAAGAGTTGCTCCCTCCCGAGGCGCACGCGCGGGAACATAGTCAAAACTCAGTGCTATCCAAGTGTCATGGCTCTTGTGACAAAAAACAACTGTTGTGACTTCATTCATGTCCCCATGCGCAGAGACGCAAGCATGTAATGCATACACAGCTTGGACCAGCTTTGAAAAGTGAAGCTGAATCCAGTTTGGCCCCGTCGAATAGTGCGTAATTTGTTCTGCAGGGTTTGAGTTCAAAGATTTGACAAATCCTACCTGCCGGAAGAAGGCCGACGCGAAGCAATAGTGGAGCCAAAGCATGCTTGCATATAATCACCGGAATCTTTGGCGATAAAAACCAACAGCGATGAAATTTTCTGATGCTCCCGCGTGCCGCCGCCCATGGACTACCCCAGATACTTTTGCGCAGAAATGCAGCGTTTTTGCTGGCCGATTCCCCTATAGTTCCTCATGGCCCCTTGAATGTTTCAATATTTCTAACCATAGCGCCTCAAATCAAAACCCAAGCCCACACACACACACACCCACGCACGCACACGCACACACGCACGCACGCGCGCGCACACACACGCACGCACGCACGCGCACGCACACGCCCACGCCCACGCACACGCACACGCACACACATACACCCTAGACAAGAACTGGATCATTGAAGTGATCCGTTGGGAACTGAATCCCATAATGTGCAATTCGACAAGATATATAGTAGTAAATGACCAGATATATATATATATACAGATAGATAGGCTATGGTGGCCACCAGGTGCGACTTAACTGCGCCCAGGTGCACCACCAAAGCCCAACAGGTACGCGCACACGGGTCCCGGGGAGGTGTCTTCGTTGATCACCGACCCCCGCGGAATGCGCCACCATCGAAGTTTTACGTTTGTTTTCCGGCGTTTCACACACACACACACACTTTTGCTCAGGGACTTCTATTGAACAGGCACTTCTATTGAATATTAAAATGGCACTGCAATGCATCATCCATACAAAACGACAGCAGAACAAAAACCCTAAAAGGAGAATGGAAGGTATATCATATATCCCATCTCTTCCTTCTAGCCAAGTTCCATTCTGGATGCATTCTTCAGATTCTCCGGTTCTACGCTTAGCCGGTCGGCATGCGGGAAATTTGGAAATCAGTGCCTTCTCAGGGAAAATGACAATGCAAAGGCAGGTACGTCGCGGTGATCAGCCATGATATCCTTTAGTCGGTTGCATGGAGCTTCGGGCTTTGTTGGCGACAGCCATACAGCGACCTTGTCGCCCCGTGCTCTCAATATTTGATGTACAGAAAAACCATGAAACGGCACAGCAGGTAGAAGTTTTACATCTCTTCAGGTGGCGCACGCGCGCGCACGCGCACGCACGCGCACGCACGCGCATACACACACACACACACACGCATGCACATTGCATGTGTAGAATAAGAAGGAAAGAATGCTGAGGCAACAGGGAATTCGCGAATTCTTCAGAAATCACCTTGAGAACGCTGTGCAACTTTTTATATCTATCGTCCGATAGTCCAGTTCGGAGTCTAGGTTGGGCTTCCCATCTCGTGTCCGCCCGCAAGGAGTCTGCAGACCACCATGAGGCTAGCGAGGAGCCTTTGCCCACAATTTTGTCCTGGCGCGACATCCTTCCGGAAGAGCCTTTCTTCAAGAAAGGGCTGGCGGACAACGATGAGATGGTTTTTCCCTTCCCTCTGCAAGACCGTCAGCTTCTTCGAAAAATTCTTCTTCACGGAGGCAGCGAGTTCAAGGTTTCGAAGCTAGTGGATCTTTATCATGTGGTGCAGACTACCGGAACGGGGAAGGACAAGAAGCGCAAGAAAGTCAGACCAGCAATTGCCAAGGCAAGTCTTGTCTTCGACATCAGTGGTGGCCCAAACTAATCCTTGTTCAGACCCATTCTGTTCTTGCCCGTGTTGTTGGCGACTTGTGGGGCCATATGCCATATGCAGTCAATGGTGTTTCAGTTTCAACGATTTTGCGGCAAAGAAGGTTGAACGCATTTGGCAAGGGTGGTTCCCTGAGCAGGAATTGTTTCGGATTCTCAAAGAGTTATAGCAAAGCGCTTCAATGGCCATGGGCCTTTTTTTGAAGATAATTCTACCTCATCAAAGACTTTATGCGTGCTTTTACATTTAAGCTTGTTGTCTTTAGATTTTCAATGATGGTTTGCACATATCGAGGTGCAGTCCTTAATTCCACAGTGCGAGATAATTAGTTTAGGCATTTACTTCCCAAATCAGATTTGAGGTACGAGGTGCAAGACAAGGCAAAGATGTTGATTCGTTGCACTGACGATGCCATGCGTGAACACACAGATTTGTTTACCGGACAGGTCAAGTCTGTGTTGCAGAAGGCGGTGCAGCGCTATCCACGCATTGGCTCTTTGAATGTTTCAAGCAAGGACTGCACACTGGTCTTAAAGTCGTGGAGCAACTCGAAAAGAAACCAAATTTTGTTTCACAACGACATTTTGCAGTGTGGCCGGGTCTCTCTCAGACAAGTGTCAGAGAGACGTGGCTTGTATAATGAAGAGCAGCGGTCCACCAGTGAGCGCGGCCACAGCGCCGCTGCGCCAGCACCATCTCCATCCCAAAGTGGCCTCCCTGCGCCACCTACTCCGCCCGGTGGCAGGGCTTGAGATGGCGTAACTTGCTTTGGACATACATCGTGCACCAGTTTTGACTTTGCCAGCAGCAGCGCATGTTAAAGCAAAAGTGTTCAGCATACCCGCTTTGGCTTCTGCTGGCAGCAGGGCTTGCGATGGCGTAACTTGCTTTGGACATACATCGTGCACCAGTTTTGACTTTGCCAGCAGCAGCGCATGTTAAAGCAAAAGTGTTCAGCATACCCGCTTTGGCTTCTGCTGGCAGCAGGGCTTGCGATGGCGTAACTTGCTTTGGACATACATCGTGCACCAGTTTTGACTTTGCCAGCAGCAGCGCATGTTACAGCAAAAGTTTTCAGCATACCCGCTTTGGCTTTTGCCGGCAACAGCGCATATTGAAGCGAAGGTGTTGTGGCACAGGCGGGGCCGAAAGCATGTCAGTGGTGAGCAGTCTCCAAGGTTACTGGGCGTGCTTGTGTGAACTCGTGCGGTGGTGCGCAGAGGCATGCAACCTTTTGCTGTTATATTTACGATGTTACAGTAGGATACTCGCATCTTGTTCCGGTCTGCGTGGATTCTGATTGTATGTGCGGCCATCAGTTTTGTTCCCAAGTCTTTTCACGCACGTAGGAGAAGGGGTGGGGGTGCGGTTGGATGACTTTACGCAACCCTAGGTGAGCTAGTACTAGCATGAGAATGATATGCAAACGTACCGCTAGAATTGGGCAGCGGCGCCTCGCAGAGGCCGTGCTTTCGTGCAAGTTCTTACCCCATGAATACTTCTTGCGCACTTGTTGTTGCTTCATCCTGATATCTTTCATCCGTTTCAGGTTGGGACGGTGTAGGGGTGGAGGTTGTTTGGGGCAATTTCGTTCTTGCATTGGCACACTCACTTGATGCTACGATATGAGATCGTTCTTTTCAAGACCGGGGCAGCGTAGGGCAAGAACATTCTTGTACTTGCACACGTATACTTGAATTGCAGCCTTAAAAGAACTTCACTTGCATTTGCGCGCCTACTTGATCACGCGCCACTGGCTCTGCGTCAGCAGACCTGCGCCACAAGATTTTGCGGCTCCACGCGCAGGCTCACCCTCACGCGTGCTTGGACACTTGAGTCCAAGAGACGCAGCAGCACACCTTCGTGCAGAAATGAAGCACGATGCAGGTACATCCTGTAGCGCCACCTCCGCAGCCAGCTGCCAGCAACACCTAGCTTCTTGCTGACAAAGAAATAGACCGTTCTTGCATTTGCGCACCTGCTTGATGCCACTGGGTTCCATATGATAAACTTCTCTTGCACTTGCACGCCTACTTGATGCTACGTTGAAAGACATTCTTTTGCATTTGCGCACATACTTGCTGCCACGTAGGAATATATTGCCCTCTTGCAGTTGCCCGCCTACATGACAATAGTTAAAAGAAATTCTATTCAAACACCATCCCCTGGCTTGCAGCGTCAGCAACTACAAACTTACAGGGAAATTTCAAGGTCCCGAGAGGTTTCGTGGGTAACGCTTCTCGAAAACACGCCGCCTGACTCACAAGTTATGAAATGAAGGTATAAGACGGCCTGCACTAGGCGCCGCCGTCTACAACAGTTTTCTGGCTACAATGACAGGACACATTCGGAAAAGACAGGTACCAAAGCGTTGCCCAGTGAAGACAATGATGTTACTGCTAGCACGGTCAAACAGCTCTAGCCACACATGCTTGCTTGCATGCGCAACGAAAGCAATGGAAATGGTTCACACCCACTTGGCTCTGGCTGCTGCTCATGGCTGTTCCATAATCGGTTGCCGCAGCTACGCGGGCTTTTTCGACATGGCGCATTTATAAGGCAAAAACCGCTTTGAGAGACATGCATTGTAACACGTCGTTTCCTTCAGGTGCCAGCTCACACTCTTCCATTGACATCCACAGCACTCCCCAGGCTATAGTCAGACAGGCGCCAACAGAAGGAACTCTCCAAAAGTAAAGAATACAGGTCTTTTTTCAATCTCTGTAAAGCCTTGCAATTCAGGTGAATGGCCATGGAAGTGCTTTGTTCCTCCAGGTGCTGTTGCCCCGTCTGTGAGTCTCCTTTGCAACAGCGCCGGCCGCGTCAGCGGGGCGCCGTGCAATGTCAGTTGATTGCTGAGCCTGAAACCCTCCATGCTTGGCATGTGAGCAAAATTTGCTCCAGATGTCCATTGCTAAAAAAATTTTGGTGCGGGTTTCAGGAGGTCTTGATCAACGGCAAATGGGTCAAGCAGGTTGATAACCCTCATCCGCTCTATTTCTTTGTCAGCAAGAAGCTAGGTGTTGCTGGCAGCTGGCTGCGGAGGTGGCGCTACAGGATGTACCTGCATCGTGCTTCCTTTCTGCACGAAGGCGTGCTGCTGCGTCTCTTGGACCCAACTGTCCAAGCACGCGTGCGGGTGCAGCTAGCCCGCACCTGGGGCCGCGAAATCTTGTGGCGCAGGTCTGCTGACGC